CCCCCCCTCTCTCTGCCTTCCTCTCCCCTTCTTTCCCTTCCTCTGCCTCTCTCTCTTTCTCCCTCTCTCTCTCTGCCTTCCTCTCCCCTTCCTTCCCTCCCTCCTCCCTCTCCCTCCCTCCCCCTCTCTCTCCCTCTCTCTTTCCTCCTTCCCCCAAACCTCACCCCACTCTGTGTACATGCATGCACACAGTGATATGCATATAGAGGCCAGAGGGGGGTGTTCAGTGGCTTCTCTAATCACTCTTCATTTTATTCTCTGAAATGGTCTCTCAACTGAACCTGGAGGTTGCTAATTGGCTAGACTGACTGACCAGAAAACTCCAGAGATTCTCCTGTCTCCAGCTCTCTCCAGTGCTGGAATTATATGCACTGTCCTTTTTACTGGGGTGCAGGAGATCTCAACTTGGGTCCTCATGCTTATACACAATCACTTTACCAAACCATCTCCCCAGCCCTTCTTTCATCCTTCTTGACACAAGTGACAGGATTGGAGTTTACTTTCAGTAGTCTCCACTTAGCCACAATTTCACTTTCTGTGATTTCAGTTACCATTGGCTGACTGCAGTCTAAAGATATGAAGTGGAAAATTTCAAGAATAAACAATTCATAAGTTTAAAATTGCATGATGGTCTGAATAACATGATGAAATCTTGAGTCACCTAGTTCTTTCTCACCCAGGATGTGTAAATCAGGCTTTGTCAAGAGGATCCATGTGGTATATGCTACCCACCCATTAGTCACCCAGAAGCTATCTCAGTTATCAGATCAGCTGTCTAGTATCACAGTGCCAGTCACCAGGTAACCTTTATAGAGTGACAATACTGGAAATTCAGATATGCCAAAGAAAGGCTATGAAGTACTTCATTTAAGTGAAAAGATATGTACAGGAAGAAACATATGTAGAGGGTTTGATATTATCCAGGGTCTGGGTATCTACTGGGGTCTTGGGGTATATCCCACATGAATAAGGAAGACTGTAACATGGTTTCAGGAATTAGCATCACCATTTGGTGATAGGTGGGAAGTGGCTAAATGGGGACTGCTGCTTGGGTCTGTTCATCTCCAAAGCCTGGAGGTAGTCTGGGACAGCTTCTGGGAATATTATAGACCAGGACCCATGTTTCTTCATTCCACAGACCCCTGGGAAATCTTGAGAACTGATCTGAACACTGGTTGCAGCTCATTCAATGGCAAAAAGAGGTTTGAAGGCAACTCCTTAGTGTGTATATGTGAAGGAGAACCTCTGAGACTCTCCCACATCCTCCCCAGGGCAGTATTAACTGCTCAAAATTGCTGCTGTTTCTACACGCATGCACACTGAAGCATGTGGAGGGCTTGCTCTTTTCAGAGCAGGTAAGGGTCCCCAGGGCTAAAGAGGGACCCACCCAGCCTTCCTGGTTCTGTTACTTACTTATTATGTAACCAGTTAGTAAACCACTTAGCCTGCCCATGCCTCAATGTGTCACATGGGGACAATGCCCTCTTCAGAATGGAATGGGTGAAATAACAAAGGTAGTTCCAGGTGGTCATAATAGGGGCTCAATATGTGTGAGATGCCCTTCAACAACCCCACATAACACTGATCCAAGTGGGATGTCTCAATGACCCCAAAGTAGGCACTCAGCTTGGGACAGGCTGGGCAGCTGAGGAGTCCTGGTCCAGCTTCCAGCCTGAGAAGCTAGCCAGATCTGCCAGGGAAAGTCTTCAGGGGAGAAAAGTTCTGAGGACAGGGAGAGATAAGATCCTTCCACCCTCTCCCTTCATCTGGGACTCCTAGAAACCAAAGCTTCTCCTGGATCTGCTTGGAAGGTTCATAGGGGAGGAAGAGAGGCCATGGTCAGCCCTGCAACTCCCTCAAAGTCACCTGAGCTGGCTCAGTCTTCTCTTTTCTACTTAGACATAAGACAGCTCACTGCCCAAGCCTTGTCAATTATCAGGAGCCACTGTGAGATTTGAGGAGCCTCAGAAGAGCTCACAGGCTTTTGTTTCTATCTACAAGTTCTCCTGATGGATGGTCTAGAGCCCTTAACACTCACTTTGGGCCACTTATTGCCCATCTGCCCCTCAAGTACAAACTACCAGTTCTTGCCATGACTGGATGAGCCACTTGGGAGTACTTGAGGAAAGACAGGGACAATGTCATGGCTAGAACCGTGAGTCCTGCCCTGGAGGGGCTCCTAGGCTAATGAATAGGAGACAAGCTGATGTCTTCTGCACATTGGTAGAGGCAGTTCATGGTATGGGATGGGGACATTGCCAGAGGAGGTCATGGCCCAGCCTATGCGCATAAGGGCTTTCCTGGAGAGGGGGTTATTTGAGCTGAGTACTAAAACATGAGTAAGTACTCACTACACTGATAAAGATTAGGAAGGGCATTCCAAGTACAGGGACTAGCATGTGAAAAGATGTGGCTACAGTTGCCATTGCACAGGGGAGAACTGGGGCCGAATCCGAAGCCACATTAAGAAAAAAAAAAGTTGTGCTCAAGTCCAGAGGGCCAAGGAATGCCCATTGGGCTGTGTCAAGGTGGGAGTGCCAGACCAATGATCTGCCCACCTCCTGGGGCTGGCAGTCACGGATGCTGAGCAGTCCCAAAGTCAATGAATAACTTGGGAGTGGAGGCTAGGCGGGGCCTAACCAGGGCTGCTGCTGTGGGCCCAGTGGTGTTTTCCACTCCTGAACAAGCATGGCTAGACTGCCTACCTGCTTAAGTGTCTACCTTGCCCTGCCCCACCCAGCCCAGCCTGCCAGAGCTCTTGAAGAAGGAGTCATCTCTCCTGGCAACTGGACCAAAGGAGCTGCTGTGCACACCAGTGGGTGAGGAGCTGGAAGTTCTTGGTGGCCAGGGATGAGGTTGGGGGTGCTGCCCTGTCCTTCAGATATCCAGGAAGAATTCCCAGGGATGCGTCTTGGAGGGGTGGTTGATGTCCTCATCTACCTACCGGATGCTACAAAATGCAAGATGAGGGCAGAGTTCCTGCCCTAGGGAACCTGTACTCTGTGTCTGGAGGGTGGCAGTGGGAAACAAGACAGTCCCCAGGCCCTAGCCAGGAGTCCTCTGTTCCCAAAGGGATTCTCTTGTGGTCAAGTCCTCCATGACCTTGGCCAGGCCCTGCCCTTCAGGCCTTGCCATGCAGCATGGAGCAACTACAGGAAGAAACAGCTATATTTCCATCTTCTGATTTCTGTGATGGGAGGCTGCTGCTGCATAATTACTACTTCGGGATCTAGGAGCTGGGGAGGCTAAGGTGAGAAGGAGCAAAAGGTTTGGAGATGAAACATCTATGGAGCTCTTTGTAAGGGCAAGAGCCAAGAAGCTAGATGGCTGGGCCTGGGGGCCTCACTGGGTCTAGCTGAGGAGCTGAATGTTGGCATGCAGGCAACAGGTGCCATAGGAAGAAAAGGAGACTAGACAGTAGCGAGAGCCCTTGGGCTGTGTGTATGGGATGGAACACTTCCCTACTTCTCTGGGCTAGATTCTCACTGTCATGTCCCTCAGGCCCGTCTTGACCATGATCCCTGCCTGGATGTGGCTGCTCTACCTCTCTGTTCCCCAGGTGAGTTGGGCCCTGCCCTTCCTTCAGGTGCCAGCCTTGGGGGGTTGGAACCTTTGTCCACAGCTCTACTGAGACCCATCATCTCAGTGTTGGGGGTTGGATATCCAGAGCTAGAGCTACAGGCCTGTTGTGGGAGCAGAAAACCCAAGATCAGAAGGTGGATAAACTAAGTCATGGTAGGCCTGGGAAAGGAACAGCAGGTCCCTTTCCCTACCAACATCCACAGGACAAAGCGAGAATTTCTCCCACAGGTTTTCCCTGAGGCCCAGTCTGCAGAGCTGTGTGTAGAAGTTCCAGAAAACTACGGTGGAAATTTCCCTTTGTACCTAACCAAGGTGAGCCTGAGAGTTGAGTGGGTTCCCCACACCCCCAATGTCCTGCTTCTCCTACCTTCAGCACCTCTCCTCCTTCTTGCTTTGAATCCTGCTTTCTAGAGAGTATGTAGATTAATGTGAGTAACAAACAAGATTTTTGTCCCAGAGGAGAGTAGAGCTTTGAGTTAAAGAATGGAAGGTTAGGCCGGGCGTGATGGTGCACGCCTTTAATCCCAGAACTCAGGAGGCAGAGGCAGTTGGATATCTGTGAGTTCAAGGCCAGCCTGGTCTACATGGTGAGTTCCAGGTCAGCTGAGGCTACAGGGAGACCCTGTCTCAAAAAGATTTAAAAAAAAAAGAATGGAAAGTTGGCACTGGGTGTCACAGCGCATGCATGTAATCCTAGCCCTGGGGAGACTGTGACAAAAAGATGGAGATTTTGAGGCCAACCTTGACCACAGAGTGAGATCTTATTTCCAGAAAAAAGGAAGGAAGGGGGGAGGGAGGGAGGGAGGGAGGGAGGGAGGAAGAAGGCTGGGTGTGGTGGTGCACACCTTTCATCCTAGCACTTGGGAGGCAGAGACAGGTGGATATCTGTGAGTTCAAGGCCAGCCTGGTCTACATAGTTCCAGGCCAGTCCCACTACAGGGAGACCTTGTCTTAAAAAGACCAAAAAAAAGGTACATGTTATCAAAAACTGGGAAGGGGGCTAGAGAGATGGCTCAGTTTAAGGGCATTAAATGTACTCTTGCAGAGGACCTGGGTTCGATTCCAGGAAAGAAAGAAAGAAAGAAAGAAAGAAAGAAAGAAAGAAAGAAAGAAAGAAAGAAAGAAAGAAAGAAAGAAAGAAAGTTCCAACTTCAGATAGAGAGGTTACAGGGAACATGGAAGAAGTATTAATTAGGTATAGGAGGGGCTCCCTTTGAAGCTCAGTTTATTTATTGGCATTGTAATTTCAGGCAGGTGCCAGCTCCCTCTGAGACTCAGTTTCCCCACATGTAAAATGGAACCTGTGGGTAAAAAGGGTATCTTCAGGCCTAGCCCACACTTCCTCTTCTTGGTTCTCTCCCACCAGCTACCCCTACCCCATGAGAAAGCTGAAGGCCAGACTGTACTGTCAGGAGGCCCAGGCAAGGCAGCTGAAGACCCCTTTGCTGTGGATCCAGATTCTGGCTTTCTGATGGCTACCAGGGCCCTAGACTGAGAGGAAAAGGCAGAGTACCAACTACAGGTATGACATAGTGGGGTATAGGGGAAAGGGGGCAAAACAGAACTGGGAACTAAGTACCCTTCCCTGCCAGGTTACCATGGAGTCTGAGGATGGACGTGTCCTGTGGGGTCCACAGCCTGTGATAGTGCGTGTGAAAGATGAGAATGACCCAGTTCTCTCAGACCATCTACAGAGCTCAACTGAGCCAGGGCACTAGGCCTGGTGAGTGACAAGGGCAGCAAAGTCAGGTGGGCACCGATAGAACAGCAGACAATAAAAAGACCGTTGGCATAGACAGAGCAGGAAGGTCCAAACTGCCTTCAGAGCTTGTCCCGCCCTATACTCTACCATGCCACTGAGGGTTCCATCGACTTTGGGCCTCAATTTGCTCATTTGTGAAGTGAGATAAAAAAACAGGCTCACCTCCAGAATACTATACAATGGTGAACTTGGAAGGAAGCTCTGAGGAGAGAAAGGAAGGAGTTTTCCCAGCTCCACCACCCCTTACAATGTATCCCCACCCCTAGGCATTCCCTTCCTCTTCTTTGAGGCTTCGGATGGGGATGCTCCAGGCACCGCTAACTCAGACCTTCGATTTCACATTCTGAGCCAGTCCCCAGCCCAACCTTTGCCAGATATGTTCCAGCTGGAGCCTCAACTAGGGGCTCTGTCCCTCAGTCCCAAAGGTGAGCATAAGCTAGGTGTGATGACGGAGGGGTCAGGGAATGCTAGAGAAGGAGCCTCTGAGCTGTAAGTGATGGATGGGTTAGAGCTGAGATTCCAAAGGGGGGGGCATTATAGGTAGAGGTCAAGCTCGTGCTGTGCATAATAGAAGAGTTTGGAAATGGGGTGGATGGAGACCAAACAGGAATGGATGAGGAAACTGTAGTAGGGACATCTCAGAAGTGACGGCAGGAGAGATCTGCTTCTGGTAGTTTGACCAGAGACACAGGTTAGGGATAGAAGAAGTGAATTACACCTTAACCTAGCCAGCTACTCTGTCATCCATCTAGCCCCCACAACCTGTGCAGCCCATGCATATAGTCTCTCACCCACACACCCAAACTCCCATCTATATACCCATCCATTCTTCAACCTATTCTCTCCCCATTGACTTTCCTCCCCCTGCCTCCTGTCACCCGGCCATCTATACCTCACCAATCCATCACCCTTTCTATGTGGTTAGATATCGAAGTGAAATTACAATGTCAAGTCCTAGTTGGATGCTCACAATGGTGCTAAAAGATCCTCTCATCCCTTGGCCAAGAGTTTTTTGAACACCTGTTTTATGTTTGGCTTTGTGTTTGGTACCTGTTGAGGATGTTCTGGGCCTGGCTCTCTGGCCATGTGCTCAGCTGACCATTCTATCCCTTCTAGGAAGCACTAGCCTAGACCATGCCCTGAGAGGGCCTTACCAGCTGTTGGTACAGGTCAAGGACATGGGTGACCAAGCCTCAGGCCACCAGGCCACAGCCACTGTAAAGATCTCCATAGTAGAGAAAACCTGGATACCCCTAGAGCCTGTTCACCTGGCAGAAAATCTCAGAGTCACTTACCCACACTACATTGCCCAGGTGAGTAGTGGCTATCAGTAGCTGAAGTAGCCCCAAGGCTGGTACAGCTTGGGCCTAAGTCACTTAGACACTTGGGAGGAATGCCCAGGATCCAACTTTACTCTCATGCCTCCTCCCTTGACTTCCCACTATGGAGTTGGTGGTGAGGCCCTGGGACCAAGCCTACAGTTTTCAACTACCATCCTCTGACAGGTATTGGTGTGTGTTCTGACTTCACAAGCTTGCCCAAGGCTTCCTCAGTGGAAACAGCTGCCAACTTTCACTGCCATGGGGATTGTCACCCCAGTCAGGAATGTCTCAGGCCTTTTCTAGGATCGCCCTGGGGTCAAGCCCAGTCTGAGAAAGCAGAACATAAAATAACCTGGTCTTTTAGGCACTTCAGGCAAGTTCCATGCCTGGACCAGGGTAAAGTGATCATGGAGTAGCCAGCCACATGTACTATGGGTGCAGGCTCTTCACCTGGGAATCAGTTGGAGGATAAGGGTCAGCACAGATCCTTCTTGACCCTCGGCCTGACGTACTTTCATTCTGTTCTCCTCACAGGTACACTGGAGTGGAGGGGATGTACACTATCACCTGGAGAGCCAACCCCCAGGCCCCTTCAATGTGAGTGCAGAGGGGAGGCTCTATGTTACCATGGATCTGGATCGAGAGGCCCAGGCTGAGGTGAGGTGAGAGGGAAATGGGGCAGACTGGAGGATGCTCTGTCACATTCCCCCACAGAAACATGGAGCTGGCCACAGAAAAGACCTCCTCTACCCAGGCCAGGCTTAACCCTGATCTGAACTGCTTCCCTCCGCCCCCACTGCCCTATAGTACCTGCTCCAAGTTCGAGCTGAGAATTCCCATGGTGAAGACTACACAGAACCTCTGAAGTTGCAGGTGGTGGTGATGGATGAGAATGACAATGCTCCTGTCTGCACCCCACATGGTCCATCAATCAGCATCCCTGAACTCAGCCGCCCAGGTGGGCTTATGGGCCTTGTAAGATGGAGAGAAGGGTGGGTCCCTAGGAACCATACTATCTTGCTTCTCTGGGGGTGGGTCTGCTTCAGGCCTCTGTCTCAAAGTCCTTCAACACACACACACACACACACACACACACACACATACACACACACAAAAACACGCATGCACACATGCACAGAAGTTCAAGAAGTGGATGAGTAAGACAGGGCTGTGGTTCTAACCCAGATAGGTGGTGTCTTACAGGTACTGAAGTGACTAGGCTGTCAGCAGAAGATGCAGATGCCCCTGGATCACCAAATTCCCATGTTGTGTATCGGTTGCTGAGCCCTGAGCCTGCGGAGGGGTCTGAAGGGAAAGCCTTTGAGCTAGACTCTACCTCAAGCAGTGTAACTCTGGGGACTGCCCCACTCCAAGCTGGCCAGGACGTCTTGCTTCAGGTCCTAGCTGTTGACTTAGGAGGAGCAGAGGGTGGTAAGTACCCTGAAAATGACCTGGGCTCTTGTCCCTCTGTTCCAACTGGGGCCTCATTGACAATCACTCCCCTGCCTCAGGCCTCAGCAGCACATGTGAGGTGGCAGTCATGATCACCGACGTCAACAACCATGCTCCTGAATTCATCATTTCCCAGGTAAGCAGTGGCAGAGGGGGGAGATTATTGAAAGGATGTTGATGGGGCTCACCACCCCTCTCTATCTCTCCAGATTGGGCCTGTGACTCTTCCTGAGGATGCGAAGCCTGGAACTGTGGTGACCACACTCATGGCCACAGATGCCGATCTTGAGCCTGCCTTCCGCCTCATGAACTTTGCCATTGAAGAAGGAGACCCGGAAGGGATATTTGATCTGATCTGGGAGCCAGACTCTGGTTACGTCCAGCTCAAACTCCACAAGGTTAGGATATAGACAGGTGGGAAAGGGGTACAAGTGTGCCATCCCTGGCCTACATAGTGACCCGGAACTCACTGGTTCCAGAACCTCGACTATGAGACAGCTCCTCATCACAAGGTGGTAGTGGTGGTACAGAATGTGGAGAAACTTGTGGGCCCAGGCCCAGGCCCTGAAGCCACAGCCACTGTGACTATACTGGTGGAGAGGGTGATGCCACCTCTCAAGTTAGACCAGGAGAGCTATGAGACCAGTGTTCCAGTCAGCACCCCAGCTGGCTCCCTCCTGCTGACCATCCAGCCCTCAGAATCCATGAACAGAACTATCAGGTAAGCCAAA